GTTCACAGCTTCCCCTGGCCTAGCTGCTTACCTCAGTCTCTCCCCACATTCTTCCATCTTCCTGGCTTGCTTTCATGTCCTGAAGAGCAGATGCTCAAAAAACTGCTACCAGCAAGAAAGCACAAAATGCACTTGCCACCATGGTGAGAGCCAGGTGCCAAATGTGAAACAGATACATTGGAAATGGATCCACACCCCTTTCCCCCACACAAATACAGAGCTCTCCACAAAACAGAAAATATTTGAGAGATCTAGAATCTACAGCTGCCTCTGAGAATTCAACCTCCCTGACAGATTCATCTGTAAAAGAGGATTAAAATAAAACAACATGTAGGCTCACTTGTATAGTGAGCTGGGAACCTCCACTGCACACTGGAAACCTCTCTCAGTCTCTTCCACCAGGAAGGCATCACAAGGCTCATCTGTAGGATCCCCAGGGCCTACAAAGTAAAAAAATCAGACTGTTCTATAAAGGTTGATAGTGTTTTATGTGATGGAACACTCTCACCAGCTTTCTTCTCCCAAGGTTAAATAAAAGAACAAGGTGGCTCCTTCTGTCAGAGCCAACTGGCTTTTATTTCATCTTACGACCTGCTCAGAAAAACATCATGACACTACTTTTAAATCTTCCATTCTTGGAGGGTTAAAAAAGTAGCAGTTTCAGCCCGCTACAGAATAGTTTTTCTCTTGGCTGCAATTTGCAAAATAACCCAATAGGATTTTTTAAAGAACTGTTCTGCCTGTTATTGAGCGGTAGCCCACTGGCTTAAGCATCAGAGGATATAAAGACACACTCTCACCCACGGACCACTTAGTCATATTTGTTTTTCAACCAAACCTGGTTAGCTCAATGTGAGCAGGGGTGGGTTTGGGTGGCAAGAAGCATATTAGAGTTTGCCCAGTTCTTTCAATCTTTTCTACTTGAAACAAATGGTGGATGTTTACCAGATATTCTTGGGCTTTTCTATATTTAGAAGGACCCACACAAACATTACCTAATATGGTACTCATACAGGTGAGTACACCAAGATAGAAAAGGAACAGTTAGCCATGTAAATAGGTGATACCTTTCAAAATCCACATTAGATGGCCACAAGAAGACACCCATTTAAGGGCCAATATCGAAAGGTCCTGAGCACTTCCAAGGAGGTGCTAAGTGACCTCAACTCCTATTAACTCCGAGATTAAATTCACTGTGGAAAATACCAAGGACAATGCACGAATAGGGAAAAAATATTATCTACAAAGTCTTAACATTTTTACTGATCATTTTAAATTAAAAAAAATCTTTTAACCCAGATAACATTGTTTTGCTGAATTTTTCAGTCAACAAATTAATTGATAGCCAGCAACCCACGTCAACTTCACAATCACTTAAGCCAACATTTTGTAACTAGAATTTACTCTGCTCCTCAGCCAGGACTGCTAGAGAACAATGCAAAGTATTTCTTCACTCAAAAGACTATGTCCCCAGTCCTGCAATAAGGGCAGACCCCTGTGCCCACAAGGAGCTCCTCACAGGCTCAGAGCCTGAGTTTGCTAACTCCCTGTGAGTCTTGAATGCTGATTCCCCACTTTGCAATATATTATATTTAACACCAGACTGGGCCCCTACATATTAGGTTTTACCTGCATAGAAATCATCCTCTTCTTCATTTGGATAGGACTGTTGTTGAATAATATTTTTCCTATAAATGCGCCCTCCAATCCTTACAAGTGTTGGACGCAAAACTTCCATTGTGCTCTTCCCGCCAATGATGGCACCCTACTGAAATAAAAATAATTCTGCTGACATCTCCCTAGAAATTGTAAATTCCCTGGTTTCCTATATGTACTTTCTAAGAGGTTATCATGGAGGCATCAGTAGAGACTCTGTAGTTAAGGCTGAGTTTTACACTTAAAACAAGGGATTCATCCTTTTTGTTACATATGAATAATACAGCAACAAAGTTTCTTCCCCAATATTACAGCACTTAGTCCAGGAGTGGCCCCAGAGCCACATGCGGCTCTTCAGAAGTTAATATGCGGCTCTTTGTACAGGCACCAACTCTAGGGCTGGAGCTACAGGCGCCAACTTTCCAATGTGCTGGGGGGTGCTCACTGCTCAACCCCAGGCTCTGCCACAGACCCTGCCCCCACTCCACCCCTTCCCGCCCCCTCCCCAGCCATGCCCTCGCTCCTCCTCTCTCCCCCCCCCCCAAAGCCTCCTGCACCCCACGAAACAGCTGATCAGGAGGGGAGGGGAGGCGCTGATCGAAGGGGCTGCTGGTGGGCAGGAGGCACTAGGAGCCAGGGGGGAGCTAATGATGTATTACTGTGGCTCTTTGGCAACGAATACTGGTAAATTCTGGCTCCTTCTCATGCTCGGGTTGGCCACTCCTGACTTTAGCCTTTCAGTAAGAAATTAATTTTCTGAGAATTTACAAGTAGTCTTAGTTAGAAACTGAGAAATTTAAACAAACTAAGAAATATAAGTGTAAGATATTTAGCTCCCAGCACCAGCCTTTTTTTTTTGGGGGGGGGGGGGAGGCCTAATGGTCAACCACCAACTCTTTGAAATTCCCGTGTTATAATTAAAAACTCTCAGAAAGTTGTGAATATACTACACATTTTAAATTATTTTTTAGGATTAGCAATCAATTTTCCCACATCATTTTTCATAATTGAAATTTTCTCCTGCAGAGGCTGAAAAATACAATGGTTACTACAGAGAATTCCACACAGAACTGCCTTTTTTCAAAAACCACTGTCATTTCCTATTGCTCCCAAAAGGAGCAAAGCCACAGAAGTGTCTCTCTTGCTGCTGTCAGTGGGCCTGTCTCTGCCTCCTCACAGCACAGGAAGCCTCCATCTTCCCTGATGGCCTCTGTGGCTCCAGGATGATTGAGAGCAGTGGGAGATGATGGTCATTTTAAAAGAGGACAATTCTTCCTGACAGATAAACTTTGGTTATGAAAAACAACAAAAATGACCTTTCATCCTAAATATCTTTTCAAAAGCAACCCACTGCGCCAGATCTACTCAACAGATAGGCCAGGAGATAGGGGGAGACTAAGTTCCATGTGCGTGAGAGAAAGAGGGAGAGGGAGTTTTGGAGGGCATGAGGAAGAAAGTGCTGTGTACATTTTCAGCCGTTTTGCACTACACTGGCAAAACAAAGCAGCTGCAAACCCAGGTTAATTATGCAAAATACGTTTAGCTGTTCTGTGCTGCTCCAGAGTGAGATACAGCAGCCACTGTGTACCTATATCTCGTAAAAGTTCAAAATTTAAAAAAAATATGTGTGTGAGAAACTGCATATCTTCAAATCATTAGAAACATTACATGGTAACATACTCTTTGAGTATCTTGCTTAGAATCTATACAGGAAATTTTTAATTTAAAAAAAAAAAAAAAAAGGAAATTCCCTGACAAAAATCTATATTAAAACAGAGTTAAGATTGAAATACAAATCAGAAATTTTGGGAAAGCTATATTTTAGGTATATTGTAATTCTGCAAAAGCCAGCCATTATACACCTAGGAAATTCAGTTAAACTTAAAAATAAAACCTAAATATATTAAGGTATATAAACAAACAGTTGAGGCACCCAAACTTTAACTTTGGCCTGTCACAGTCTTCAAACTCCCATATAATTAGAACTTACTGAAAACTTGTGAAAAGTATAGGCAAAGACTGAATTTTAAGGGTTAAAGTTCATTCCCACCTCCCATTAATCTTCATAACTGAGAGTTTCTCCTTTGTCAGAAACCTTACTCTGCATTATGATGACACTATGAAGGGAAAAAACCTGCCTCTGTAAAAGAAACAAAACTTTTTTTTAAAATCCGTTTTATCTAATCTAGGTCCACAAATATTTTGTTGGCAGTCTCACAACCTACAACGCTTTCCTTAAAGCTCCAGGGTTCTAGAAGTAATTATGTAAGAATCTCAGCTTTTATCTAAATAAAAAAGTAAGTTCCTTCCTAGCTCTTGTGGTTGTAGGGTAAAAGCTTGAAAATGTTAACCAAGGGCACCCTAAAAGCCCAAAAATCAGAAGACAAAAAAAGAACAAAGCATTTCTTTTTACTTTGATGGGTGGGTTTGTTTTTCAGTCTCATGACTTTAAAGCCAAATTTGTTATTTTTGAGTGGAGTTGTGATTTTTTGAATATGCAAGGTTGACAAAATTGCATTAGGGCAGGAATCTGTGCTCGCAAAACCGGATGCAGGGCTGAGGCCTAGATCACACACCACAAAGAAGCAGTAGCTTCTGCTGCGGGGACAGTCACACAAGCTCACAGAGCAAGACCCAGCTCCCGCAAGGTGCAGCGCGTGGAATGACGGGTGCAACGCCACAGCAGGGCACGGCTACCCCTCTGACACAAGTCTGGTGCCTGGGAGTCACTGGCCCAAACCCTCCGGTGACTCCCCCTCCCCCCCCCAGTGTCAGACCCCCTTAGTCCGGCACACACTGACCAACGCGCGGGCAGCCGCCGGGCCACCCCCGCACGCAGCTACGCGGGGCCCGAGCAGCAGCTCTGTGTTGGTCGGTTTTGCGGAGAGAAGCGGGGAAGCCAAGCGCCGCTCCCGCGTGTGGCTTTTGAAGCCTCATCGTGACGCTGCGGGCGGGCGGGCCGGCCGGTCTGCCGGCGGCCCTGCAGCCGCTGCAAGCCGCACTCACCTGAGGCGGCAGGGGCTGCAGGGGGACGGCCCCGTTTGCCCCGGGAGAGGCGCAGCGGCCCTGCCCGGGGGGCCGAAGGGCGGGCGGGTCCCCGCCACTTAACCGAGACAGGCGCCAACCTGCCCCAGGGCGCTGCGGTCCCGGGGCCGGCCTAGTCCTACCCCCCCCCGCCCCGGCTCACGCTCCAGGCCCCACCAGCCGCTCCAGGCCCCGCCCGCTCCTTCGCGGACCCCGCCCCGCAGGGGGCGGGGCCGTGCGTGCTCGCGCCCGCCCAACATGTAGCGCGAGCACGCACGCACTCAGGCCGCCTTCGCCACGCCAAGCCGGCCGGGCACCAGGTGAGGCAGCGGGGTGAGGGCGGCCGGAGCGGGCGATGGGGCGATCTGGGCCCGGTCCTAGCCACCTCGCTCACCGGGGCGCCGTTGGGTAGGGAGGGGTAAGTGGTAGTTTTAGCGGGAGAGCGCTGCCCCACCCGAGAGCAGCGAGTTGCTGCTCCGCGCATGCGCTGTGTTGCTCGAGCCGTCCGTGCGCGTGCGCAGTAGCCATGTAGAAACTGCCGCCGCCGCCGTTATTCTTCCGGTATGGGCGGGGTGAGCTCCCCTGGGACACCTCCCCCTCTCAGACGCTCTTTGCGCCATATGATTGGGCCCAGACCCTCAAAATATTTACTCTTCTAGCTTCCTAAATGGCTTTCAGATACCTGTGAGGACCGTGGCTTAGATCCATGCAACCATGAACAGTTTCTCTGCAGCCAGCTTTGTGTTCAAAACCTGGAACTGCTGATGAATCCGCATCTAGTCCCAAAAAGCTGAGCTAAAATGTAACTTTAAATTGGTACGCAGAGTGGATGAATATATTGCTCCTGCCTTGAGCTTGACATCCAGCTTTCCTGGGTTTCAAGAGGGAAGTTCTGAATTGGTAATGAATAGGGAAGTGAGTGAAGGTGACAGAGAATTTGGATGGTATAGGCCCTATAAGGATAATGGGCTGGACAAGCAAGGAGTCAGTAGCCTTAGGGAAAGAGAGAGAAGACAGTTATAACCCAACAGTGTTCATCTTGGGTTCTGTAGCTGATCTATAGTTCCCATAGTGTAGACATCACCAAAGAAAAATTTAGAGGATAGATGAGAAATTATAGTGGGTAATAAAAACAAAAGACACTTCAGTGTCCAAATGGAAAGGGATAAAGGTCAAATGCCCTATCAAAATATATTTAAGCAGTTCTGTTATGCTGAAAGAATAAGGAAGGTGAGTGTTAAAGGCAGGGTGGGAGGTGTATGTGTGAGGAGTTAAAGTGATCAGGTGGCAGACTGCTAAACTGCCAAAAGAATTCCCAACCATTATTATTGTCAAATGCAATTTAAAAACACAGAGATAAAACACAAAACGCACATTTAGGAGCAAAGTGCAGCAGAGGAGTCAAGACCCTTTTAAAGACCATAGCATTTCTTCACACAGGGAGTGATGTGAGGAGGGTACAGTCTTGTGGCTCTCTAGATTTTATAGCAGAATGTTTTGTGGGATTTTTGCACAACTGGTGAGTGAGACTTACTTTTTTCTACCACCCACAAACATGAAGAGAATCTTCAGAAGGTGAATCGAGTTTAATGCTCGGTACTGAATTAGAAAAGGAGTACTTGTGGCACCTTAGAGACTAACAAATTTATTTGAGCATAAGCTTTTGTGAGCTACAGCTCGCTTCATGTAGCTCACGAAAGCTTATGCTCAAATAAATTTGTTAGTCTCTAAGGTGCCACAAGTAGTCCTTTTCTTTTTGTGGATGCAGATTAACAGGGCTGCTACTCTGAAATCTGTACTGAATTAGTTATGCATACTCTGATCCTACTCATATTTCCATTTTGCCAAGGCATTTGAGCATAATTTTCTTTTATTTTTGTGTGCCACCAAGTGGTAAAATTGTGAACTGCATTTTGTACTAAAATACATGCAAGAAATCTGCTGTAGTTTGAACATAGCCACATTATGGCCCTCAAATATCAGTTCTTCCTAGGGTGCAGAGCTCCACTTAGAAAATATTTACTTTTTCAGTGAAAAAGATAGCTAATAGAGGCCAGGTTTCAGAGTAACAGCCGTGTTAGTCTGTATTCGCAAAAAGAAAAGGAGTACTTGTGGCACCTTAGAGACTAACCAATTTATTTGAGCATAAGCTTTCGTGAGCTACAGCTCACTTCATCGGATGCATACTGTGGAAAATACAGAAGATGTTTTTATACACACAGACCATGAAAAAATGGGTGTTTATCACTACAAAAGGTTTTCTCTCCCTCCACCCCACTCTCCTGCTGGTAATAGCTTATCTAAAGTGATCACTCTCCTTACAATGTGTATGATAATCAAGGTGGGCCATATCCAGCACAAATTCAGGGTTTAACAAGAACGTCTGAGGAACAGTGGGGGTGGGAAAGGAATAAACAAGGGGAAATAGGTTACTTTTATAATGAATCAACCATTCCCAGTCTCTATTCAAGCCTAAGTTAATTGTATCCAATTTGCAAATTAATTCCAATTCAGCAGTCTCTCATTGGAGTCTGTTTTTGAAGTTTTTTTGTTGAAGGATAGTCACTTTGAGATCAGAAATTGAGTGACCAGAGAGATTGAAGTGTTCTCCGACTGGTTTATGAATATTATAATTCTTGACATCTGATTTGTGTCCATTTATTCTTTTACGTAGAGACTGTCCAGTTTGCCCAATGTACATTGCAGAGGGGCATTGCTGGCACATGATGGCATATATCACATTGGTAGATGTGCAGGTGAACGAGCCTCTGATAGTGTGGCTGATATTATTAGGCCCTGTGATGGTGTCCCCTGAATAGATATGTGGGCACAGTTGGCAGTGGGCTTTGTTGCAAAGATAGGTTCCTGGGTTACTGGTGGGAGGAGAGAAAACCTTTTGTAGTGATAAACACCCATTTTTTCATGGTCTGTGTGTATAAAAACATCTTCTGTATTTTCCACAGTATGCATCCGATGAAGTGAGCTGTAGCTCATGAAAGCTTATGCTCAGATAAATTGGTTAGTCCCTAAGGTGCCACAAGTCCTCCTTTTCTTTTTGCTAATAGAGGCCAGTAGTTCTCAGCCATGCAGTTACTTGTTTTATAATGCCAAGGTCTAGAACCTTAGCCACTGAACTTGCTCCCTGTGGACCTTACTTGTGATCTATAACGCCCTGCAATCAGACAACCAATGATGCCAAGTACTGTGGTGGACTTGAGATGTGGAAGACTAAGATAGGAATCGCCAAACAAATTTTCACCTATGAATGTGAGTTAATTTGAACCCAGGTCTCTGTAGGCAAAAAGATGTGTTGAATTAGCAAAAATTAAGTTAGAGAAGGAAAAGGTAACATTTTCTCTGTTGCCTTCAGGTTAAAGGGAGAAATGGCAGCCTCCTCTTCATCCTCTTCAGCTGGCGGAGTGAGTGGAAGCTCTGTAACTGGATCTGGGTTCAGTGTTTCGGAACTTGCCCCACCACGGAAAGCCCTCTTTACGTACCCCAAAGGAGCTGGAGAAATGTTAGAAGGTGATTGCTCTGTTTCACATTTTGCTGTCAATAAACAACTGTTGATACAGTTTACAGACTATATAAAAAGTTAGGATCCTTAATGTCATTTTAGACACAAAGCAGCCAAAGGATCTAATTGTAAAGGGAGGGAGATCTGAGTAGGCAGATGCTAGGTTTATCTCTGCTTTCAGAATATCCATGCCACCATCTTCTTTCCTTTATTCCTAAAATTATGATAAATTATCTACCCCTATTTATCTCAAACTTTAAGATGGCATAGGATTGTTTTTCCTTCATATGTTCAAAAAAATTATTTAAACAGTCTGATATTTTAGACCCATAAAAACAAAAATCTCAGACTTCACAGAAAGCAAGGCAGCAGTTGGGACAGGAAAGACTGAGTGCATGACTCTGTCAGCTTCTTTTTGCTAGCTACTTCTTTGGTTTCATAACTGAAAATTACTATAGAGATGTCTGATGGGGTTATATATTATTCTTTGGCAAATCCTCTTCTATTTAGGTTCATAGGGTCAGATTCGTGGCCGTGCCAGCGCAGAAACAGAAGGCAAGGCAGCTTGTGCCTCCAGTACTCAGGGACCAAGATGGCCTGTTTAGGCCGCAGCATAGACTAGGGTAGCACTGAGGATAACTTGCACTCCTACTTCAGTGGGCCACTGCAGTTGTGATGGTTGCTTCCACCATCCTGTGCCTTCCTGGGCCCATGCAGGGGAAAGGGGACTTGCAGAGGTGGCACAAAGCTGGCAGAGCCATGCCCAATGGTAGGGGTATATGCGTGCCATATGGGCATTTTGCACCAGCTTACCTTATGCAACGGGGCTGTAGCACAAAGATGGATCTGGCCTATGGGACTCTTTTCAGATTGAATTTGCCCATTATTCAGCATCCCTGCGGTTACTCCATTGAAGTCAGTGGAGTTAGAGCAGGGATGAACTTGGCCTTACATGTTTCATTTGAGTATCTGAAATGCCATTGCATTTGTCTAAAATCTAATCATAAATTAGATCTAATCTCCAATTAGATATGAGCGTGTGCTCTTATGATATATGCAGGTTAGAAAACTGCTTCCATTTTCCTAGTGTTGGGCATTTGACTGGTTCAAAAATAATTGGTCAGTTGACTGGTCAAATATTTTAAGGCACTAATTTATTAGAGCAATAACAAAAAAAAGTAAAATTTTTATGCTCTCCGATAGGCCTAGCCTGAGATAAATACATATGCCTAATTACAAAAAAGTTACTTATCTGAGTTATTTTAACTCAGAAAAATGCAAAACACAATTAAAGTTCTAAAAAAAGAATAATTACTATTACCTTTTTAGCAATGTTATGTTAACATTTAAATGTGAACATTATTCAAGACTGAACAGTTACAAAATAAAAGAAAAATGAAATTAAGCAGAAATAAACATATAACAACTATAAAAGAAAAAAAGTCATTTTAAAATGCACTTATGCTAGGTAGGCAGCAGGCCAACTCTTCAAGCAGCTTAATGGCTATGAATCTATTCTCTTTGTGTTGGGTGAGGCAGTTCAATGACTGTGAATCTTCCTTTCCCTCCCCACTCCCTTATGAGTTAATTTCTGTATGTTTGTCTAGTCAGTTTAGATTGTAAGCTCTTTGGGGCAGGGACTGTGTTTTTTAACCTGCTTAATGTCCTTTGTAAGCTGCTATGTAAATTAATGGCCTAGTATACAAATTAAAATCAACACTGTATGTATATCTTTAAGATTTGAGCCAACCAGGATGCTCAGCTTTCAGTTAGTTCACCTTCTTCCCCAACAGTGATGAAGACATTTAAGTAGACTTGCTAACAGATGGCACCATGATACAATCCAAAATATAGGCCACCCCCTATATCAGATCATCCTTGCTGGAATATTTTACAATATTTGACAATGGTGAATAATTTGTGATGTGCTCAGATGAAACGAAGTTAATGTTCATTATGTTTTAATACATAAAACTGCTCAATTGACCAGCCCTCTACTTGCCCTGTTGTTTTTTCTATTTGCCTTCTGCCTTTTTCCCCTTACTTTTTAGCTGTAGAATGGAGGAGTGCCAGGGCAGGCAAAAGGGTCCTTCAGTTGATTATGGGAAACACAACTTGCCTGTGATTGAAATTCATAGCTTTTAGTTCTGTAGCGCTGGGGGGTTTGTATAGCACAGTATGTTATGTTCATTAGAATACAGGGGTCTCCTGCTGCTCCCATTTAAGTCAATTCCCTATATTTGTACAGCAGCATTAATATTGTCAGTTATGGCACTGACGTGATCTGCTCTTTCAGTGTAGTTTGGAGGAGCAGTGGTTTGGGTGATCTAAGCATCAGTATCACCGAAACTGGATTTGTGCTGGAAATGGCCCACCTGTTGATCACTTTAGATAAGCTATTACCAGCAGGACAGTGGGGTGGGAGGAGGTATTGTTTCATATTCTCTGTGTGTATATAAAGTCTGCTGCAGTTTCCACAGTATACATCTGATGAAGTGAGCTGTAGCTCACGAAAGCTCATGCTCAAATAAATTGGTTAGTCTCTAAGGTGCCACAAGAACTCCTTTTCTTTTTGCGAATACAGACTAACACGGCTGTTCCTCTGAAACCTAAACTCTGTGGAACTACAGATTAAAATCCAAACAGGGTCAACTCCTGGCTTTTGTTCTCTGGGGTAAATAAACCGATTCCATGCAGTTTACTTGAGGGAGAAGAGGGTCTTTGAGATCTGTCTGCTCTTATTGGACACCATGTAAGAATAGGGGCCAAGACTGTGTAAGCCCAGGTGTTTGCCTCAATATCGTGGCCTGAATTTCCCCTCCCTTTGCTGTTGTGCAGTGAGCTATGTGTCGGTTACAATCCTCTACCTTGGAAGTGACTGCTTTTCAGTGGAGCTGTATGTATAACTGTGAATGAAAAGCACTAGATAAAAGTAAATCATCACCTAATACTACTTAGGTTAGTTGATGTGCTAGGTACTGATAGCACTGTAGTTAATTACATATTATGCCATATCACTAATTAAGATTTGTAGACATTAGTCTATATGCCAGACTTGAAATAATTCTGACTAAAGACTTGTTCACAGAACTTAATGAGCCCTCAAAACAAATTAAAATTATGAAATACTTCAAGTTACTGACTTGATGGGTGACTCTGCTTCAGAACGACAGGTTTCAGAGTAACAGCCGTGTTAGTGTGTATTTGCAAAAAGAAAAGGAGTACTTGTGGCACCTTAGAGACTAACCAATTTATTTGCGCATAAGCTTTCGTGAGCTACAACTCACTTCGAAGTGAGTTGTAGCTCACGAAAGCTTATGCGCAAATAAATTGGTTAGTCTCTAAGGTGTCACAAGTACTCCTTTTCTTTCTGCTTCAGAAGGTTCAGCTAGGAGAATAGAATTTTTGGTATGTAGGCTTAAAGGGCCTAGGTAGGCTGGTAATACCAGTGTTTCATTTGAAAGACATGGTGGGATGCATATGTATTAAAATAAAACATAATGAACATTAATGTCCTTTTATTTGAGCACATCACTAATACAGTAGAGGGCATTTTAATTGCAAAGGAGGCTTGGAAGATGAGCCAGTATGACAATGGTATTCTGATAATGGTAAACAGTAGATCAGCCTCTGATTCATCCCTTTTAAATAGAAGTGGATCCTGGGATGGGATTTTCCAGGACTGGTGGCAAGGTTCTCAAAAGGCCCCAACCTTTAAAATTTTCTCCCCTTGTTTAGTTTAGGAGCCTTTTAGGATGTGAGGTAAGGTACATTTATTTGATTTAGCTTTCGGTTGATCTGTTCCTGATAACATGGTGACTAATCTATTTTGAGTGGCAGCAGCAGTTTAATGCTATCCTCATTAAAGGACGCTTCATTTAATTTAGGCTTTTAATTTCGTAGATAACATCCCACACCGTTCTTTCTTCAAATGGATGCAGTTGTTAGTGTGCTGGCTGCATAATGTGGTGGCCTTTTTTTCAAAGAAAGCAGTTAAAATATTCATAAACGTCGCCCAATTGTACATCTTTTTCAGGTAGTTTTAGAATTTTTTTAAATAATGTACCCTTGGATTCTCTAAGGGATTTTGGATTTACTGGTAGTACTACCAAGAGCAGATTTAAATAATGTTATTTGTCATATGTTATTGACAATATTGTGAACTCCCTTATTTCTAAGATGCTTGTAAGATACATGAGTAATTTTAACCTGCATGGGGTTATTATTATTCTTGTGGAAATTGCAAGGTATAGAGGGAAGTTAATATATTTGATTGTTTAAACTCTGAGTGAGCCAGGGATTGCCAGAAGATTAGCTAACTTCTGCTTAGCTTGCTTCCAGTTTAATATTTGCTTAAAATCAGTTGAAAAAGGAGTGATGTCATGTTTATGGATTTGTAGCATTTCTGTAAGTACAGTCTAGTTGCTTAAGTGATAGGCTCTGTACAAATGATTAAAAATAAATAAAAGATGTAATGCAGAATAATCACATTCTGCCATATCAGATAAATCAGGTAAAGTCTAAGGATTGTATATACATTAGCCTATGTTCGGTTTCTATTCAGTCTGTAGGAAATTCATTTTCCTTGAGCCCTATCGTTAAGCCTTTATTCAGGCAAAGTTCCCAATAGTGACAGTGGGCAAGGCTTAAAAACTCCACTCATCTTCTGTTGACCAGAGTGAAAGATACTGTCAGGGCCGGCCTTTGGGGTGGGCGGCCAGGGTGGCCCGCCAAAGAGGACGCCATGCGCTGGCTCGGCACTCCACTTGTGCGCTGTGGACAAGCAGCCACAGCGCTGGTTCCTCTCCACCCAGCACAGCATTCCCACCCCACTCCTCTCGGCTGGCAGGCCCAGGACTGCCTTCTCCCTGCCCCCTCCCTCTTCTCAGCCAGCTGGCCGCCAGCTGAGGGCTCATGACGGGGGCAGAGAGGACCCCACAGCCGCTGGGGCTCTACTCTGCCCTTCCCCCCCGTCCCCCCCCAGGCTCATACCACTTGGTGGAGCGAG